CAATTTCTTAAAATCCATCTTTCAATTCACAGAAAACTTGGGATGTTTGGGTAATAAACTTTAATAGACAATCTAATTAGATGCATTTATAATAATTGTATCTCACTACGTATTTTATATAAATGATAATGTTTTGTCCTTGATATTCCATGGTTTTACCATATAGTAGACTCTCATTATGACAGAGCTTTACTCCTAATGATGGAAGATGTTTTGAAGTGTTTCATTTTTTCTTTATCATTAGTAAGGGGAGAAAAAAAAAACACTTGTAATAATAAAGTGTGTTAAGGAAAGGATTGCACGGGTCCGTGAAAAAATTCTGCCCAATGAATTTTTCTCATTTTTACATATAACGTTCCTAATGTCAATGATACCATTATATCAAAGTATCAAGCATGGTCATCAGGCTTCTAAGGAAGTTATAATTGCCATGGTAACCAACACTTTTTTAATCTTTTGATATTTATGAGGTGAATGTTTTATAATGCCATACACGCATCAAAATTGAAGTAAATTAAATATTTTCCTGCAGATATTTAATAATATGCTTTATATTTATTGAAAATAAAAATTGTTTCGGAAACTATTGATAAATGTAATAATGCCATTGTTTTTTTGGGAAGAATTAATTGTAAATTTGCAGTAATATTTTTTTCCTCAATAGCAGTTTTTAACATGTAGACAAAAAATTACCCAATGAATTTTCCCAAAACTAATCTATGCTGTACTAGTCATTATAAGCGACTTATGGTAAAATATAAACTAAGGTAATCAGATTAATTTTGAAGCTACACGCATTTCAGTACCCCCCCCCCCTTTCCTAGAATATTAAAAGATTACACAGATTTTCATACATGTACATGTATGATGGTTGTTGGACCTTAAATATGCATAATCTGTTTAAAGACAATAAAAGGCCATATGTATAGATAAATAAATACTTTTTCTCTGAAAATTTGGCAGCTGATGTTCATTTTATGCACAATGATTTACTTATCACCAACAGTGGTGTCGAAAATAACTTCTTTTTTCAAACTCAGTTTTTCATCTCCAAAACATTCATTTTGTTACTATATCAGTATCAATAAATAATATATTATAAACCAGTGCACAGTCCTCAAAGGCCTTATTATTCATGCTTCGAAAACTCAGTGATGTTTCTTCTTAGTGACCTGGAATTGGGGGGGGGTCAGACATTTGAACACAGTGAATGAAAAGAGGTAATTCTACATTGTACTTGTAACTGCATTATATATTTTTTATGAATTAAATGTATTCATCAATAAATTAACTTATTGGCCAGATTATAGTAATTCTAAATATTCACATTTACAAATAGTTTTCCTTCGATTCTTTTCAAGAAATTACACTTCATTTTCTCCTGTACATGGATGATCGCTATCTCCATTGTGACGTCATAATGACACAATTGACGTCAAAACTATAGATCTACTGTATTGATTCAAAAATAATCATTGATTGAAATAACTTTCCGTCGCTTTATGATATATGCTGGAGTGAAACATCTATTTTCATGTCCATGTGATTAAAAAAAAACATTTTTCAAATGTATTCCCATAAGCATGATGAGTTCACATGTTTCTTTTATTTATTTATGTACATATCTTCCCTGGTATTCTTTCAGAAGAAGTGTGTTGTGTTTCAATACGACGCATAAAACATTTAACAACAATCGTTTACAATATATGTGCGACGATGATTGAATGTTTACACAGTCGACGTCACTGCTGAAAATGCTAAAGATCTTATGGGAGAAAAGAAAATTCTCTGCGATATTTTTTTAAAGATGTGTCTTCTAGGCATAAGTGGTATTCGCCTTAACACGTTTATCAAAATCGCCTTCGTACATCAATATTTATACATGTATCCAGTAAATCACGCCTTCTGAATCTCTTATTGGAAATCATCTATATATAGATGTAGATCCTATGATAAACAACAATCTTAAATAAAATTCTAATTTTTAAATGAAGATATAAACCTCAAGATATAAATAAAATTCATTTTTATTGAAATAGATTTCAATGTTCAGAGATATACAATAGACAGACGTGTCAAATCGTAAAATATGCACGTAGATAAAAAAAAAATATGATCAACGCTTACCAACACTTTCAGTGCATCGTAACAATCTTTAATATCTTATACTTTCTCTACTTTAAAAAAAAATAAACCCCTTTTGTCATGAGCGCAAACATTTGGCGTTCCTTATTCCGGAAATAGTAACAGCAAACACTCGTTTTTTATTCACCAAATGACGTAATCACGTGACGCCGTGCAATCGGGTCCTTAAAATATTAGGTTCAAACGAATATCTTTTTTTTGTGTTAAATTATAAGTATCAAACCGTCTTGGGTGTTTTAAGTCATCTACTTAATGAATGACTACTTTTATCGAGAAAAGTAGAGTCTCATGATGGTATATATTTTATGATTGTCCTTTTTTTATTTTATGTTTTATTTTCAAAAACTGATGCTTTAATTACAAAATATACTGAAAGGAAAAAGAAACGCATAATAGCATAATAGCGAAATATATTTGACTATAAGGCCAAAAATTATGAAATTGGTCAAATGTGTATTTTGATTATTGTGCACTAAAATTGCTGCTCAAAATTACTCAACCATGAAATGTATGGCGTCACGTAGGGGAAATGATAAAAAGCCAAAAACACGTGCATGTTGATGATGACAATTTTATGATCACATTTTGTGGTGCTAATTGATGCATTGGAGTGATAGACATCGTTTTCCGCATTTGAAATCAGTATAAATTTCGTACAATTATGGTATGGCTGACGGAAGTTACAATGGTTCCAGTAATTGAATTGCGTAAGTGAATGAAAAGGCAACAAGATGTTGCTGTGCAGTTTGTTTTAAACTTTTCAACAAGAAAGGGTTTTTCAGTTGTCAGAGAGTAAATTAAAAGGTTTCCAACCAACCATGGCGGTGACGTTGACGCGTAACAACGTCACATCAAGACAGGGCTTTTCATCATGTCACCTCGGTTGTTGTCAAGGTATTATCACTGAAACTGATATTTATACAGCAAACTATCATACCAATATTTTCACCCTAAAATTGACAGAAATTCTCTGCTCTAATTTGGTCTGCGAGCTTGGCAACTTTTACGTCAATTTTACTCTCACGCGAGCACGTACACGTCGTGTGCGTAATGTTTTTAGCATGTTCACACTGGGAAAATGTAGCCAGTGCATGTCGAGACTTTCTCACAAACATTCACGTGTACCAAACCAGCTGGATTCTGTAAATTCTATCCTAAAATGAAAATTCGTGGCACTCATTTGGCGGGGGGATTTGTTGGCTTTGGAATAATACAGCTTCTATCAACCATTAAGACTATTGTCGGAAGATTTGAATAATAATCAAATGAGAAAGATAAATGCTCTGGTGAACTCAATGCACAGGAAAATCAAGGCTGTTACCAATGTGCAAGGGAGATGATGAGAATTTTTATTTTAATTTTGGGGGTATCGACATATCAATTTCAATAACTCAGGAATTATCAGTCAAAGTCACACAATATTTTGGTAACTTGTAGATTAAAGATGAATTAAAATGTTTGATAACAATACTGGAAAACATTTTCGAAATAATAGTTTCAATTTAATTTAAAAGTAAAATATGCGTTTCTTTTTCCTTTCAGTATAATATGTTTGTTAAAAACTACTGGTTATAAGGGATAAAATCATAAAAAAGGCATATGACAATATCCCATTTTTAGGCATTTTATCTCAGGATTATGCAGAAAATTTACATTCATGAATCACTGTTTAGGGTTCTTATACAAAATGTTCCTGAACGCTTTACCAGGCCTCATTTCCCCTCAAATTATAACACATGGAAGTAGTGGATTATGAATTTGGTGTCTTTTTCTCATCAGTTTCGCAATTTCTTAATTTTTCATCAAGTGAGCTCAGTGCTCACAGTAGGTCTTGTTTATAATTTCAAATATAATATATATAAATATCAAATATTTTCAAAAGTTCCTTATGTTAGTCCATAAGGGAGGGTGTGCGTGTGAGTGTATTTTCTTATGAGGCTTCGCCTCTGTCAATGTGAATATTTTTCTGGTGAATAACAAACCATATTTAGCACCAAAAGAGTCCATAATTGTGTAATCTTTGATAAACGCCCGTCTGCAATATCTGCGGGGGAATATTTCAAATGTTGTTTCAGAAAAAGACATTTCAAACGACAAAATGAAATATGGTTTTACAGGTTTATAGAAGAATGCTCTTTTCAGAAAAATAACAAATAAAATTTTCTACAAAAGGGATAATAAAAATAAAATTAATACCTATACAATAACATAGGCCATACAAGTCTTTCTTTCATATAAAAATCACACAACCAGATAAACAATAGATAACATTCACTTTACATTTTAAGTGTCATTTCAAATACGCATGGAAAAAATCAAATTAGTTTCAATCACTTTTGACCCGGTCTGTTAAGTAATATCTCCGATGTAAGAAGAAAACATCAAAAACGACTTCATATATGCGTCATTACTTGTAGGTTAGTAATATCTACTTTAAAATTGATTGTGATGTCTCGTGGTTAGTTTAGGGAAATCCCCAACCGTTCTTATATATACCGCCGTGTGTTGTCTTCTAGTGACAAAGGGATACCTTACGTTAGCACTAGCATTTAATCTGTACGTCAAAACCATGAAGTTTGCCATTCTATGAACGATTCTGATAACAATTTCCGAAGCCATGTCAGATTCCTTGTTAAGTGGTACTTATGATCGACTCTACGTGATGTAAAGGAAATCGACGTCGTCCGTCAGCTCGTCAACCAGGAGACCCTCATCCGGGTATCCATGGTCAATGACGTCAGGGCAGCAGTGAATGACGTCAGCTCTTTTTAGAGAAACTTGGAAGTCACTGAAACAACGGTCACCACTATGCTGCAAACGATAGCAACGTTAAAAAGAGAGGTTGCAACCCTTAGGCAAGACAACTCTTTATCGCAGAAGATCGAAAGACTCTTTACAGCAGACCTTGGAATCTCTAAAAAGGGAGATCAATACTATAAAGCAAAACAACACTTTACAGCAGACCGTGGAAGCTCCTAAAAGGGAGATCGATACCTTAAAGCAAAACAACTCTTTACAGCAGACCGTGGAAGCTATTAAAAGGGAGATCGATACCTTAAAGCAGAACAACACTTTACAGCGGACGCATATCCAACAGTCTCTTACAAGGTCGGAGGGGAAAACCATGGAAACAGGTAATTGATCTTTTTCTCCTTCACTTTCTTTCATCCTTTCTCTCTCGCTCTGTATATAATAATGACTATCTGGATCTTAATATTTATACTCTCTTTCAGATTTAAAACTAACAAGGGATTGTAGAGTTCACTATCTACTTGGACACAGACAGTCTGGAGTATATAACATAAACCCTTTTGGTAACGAGACCAGAGCCCGCGTGTACTGTGACATGGAGACTGAAGGAGGAGGTTGGACAGTAAGATCTCTTTTTTCTATAATCTCTCTCTCTCTCTCACTCTCTCTCTCTCTCTCCCATCAATTTCAGGTACTATAATATATCTTTTAATATTTCCATTTCTAAATTTTTTCTCTATGATAACCCTTTGAAAGTAAGCGGAGTTGATTTCCTGATAATTCTGCTGGAATGTAAATTAGGCAGGTCGATAGGTCAGGAGCTATAGAGGCCTAGTATGCATGCAAATCTCGTGCACATCTGTCTCTGAGTCTGACGCTAATCTCGTGCGGCTGCCGTTGTGTACGGCGAGGCCTATTAAAACTGGGATGGGAATTCTCGTGTAATTGAAATCTATGTCTGCATTTTTAAAGTCTAAATCTACAATTTTATTTTACAATGAAATGGAAATATAAGGAATCACTGTCTAGTTAGTATAGTATGCCCGGGACATCAACAATAGTGGGAAATATGAGATAATTTATGCATAACGGGCTTCGCCCGTTATGCAAATTATCCTATGTCTCTCACTTTTGTTGATACCCTGGCATACTATACTAACTAGACAGTGATTCCTTAATAAATTATTTTTTAAAACTGATATTTAATATTCATACTCAAAACAAACTGACGAGAGTTTTTTTTTTATCCTAACTTACAAGAAGCTAATAACATTGTGACAGTAAATATTTTTTCATCACAAAGTAGAAAAACATGTGTACTATATCATGAATAAAGATGCAAAACTTAAATAATTGTTGAGATTCGAAAGATTTAAGTAGATTTTCATATGAAGAATAATTTATAAAACAAAATCATTGGATAATGTTTAAAGAATATTTTGGCTGTCTACTCCGGACGAACTAGCTATACCGGCCCTACTCAAAACTGTTATTTTGGCCCCAAATAAGCAATTATTTTCTACATGTACTATGGAAAATATCATTTTGAAAATAAACATTGAAATCGAATTTATTTTTTTTTAAATTCAGACCAAGTCGGGAGAGGGCAACCATTTTTTTTTAATTTTAGCTCAGTTTGAAATTTACTTGCAATTTAATTGAAAGAATAAGCTAAAATTGAAGGACTTTTTAATGAATAACGTATTTGAAACAATGTTCACAGTAAAATGTATATATAAAAAAAAAAAAAAAAACACTTCACTACTTTCTTTTATAAACCCGACATAATGCATAAATCATCAGTTCCGTGAGTTTCGACAGAATGTGGTCCGACTACAAGAATGGGTTTGGCAATCCGAATGGATCCTACTGGATAGGTAAATTATATCATTTATTGAAAGGCTACAGAGGACATTGCAAATTTACGGCTCCCCGATGGTTAGAGTTCCAGATGCAGAAATATTTCCCTCCCTCGGGGAACCATGAATTTGCTTTTTCCATTTTATTATACTTTCATGTTAAATACTAAAATTTGATTGATTTAGACGCAGTTAACAATCTGTTCTATTACCCTCGGCCTTAGCAACACACGTGACAACGGGTAACACAACGGTAAATCTACATGCTTGGAAATTGTGCGCGCATGGTTCACCGTAGAATTCTCAAAACGTCAGTTGCGCATTTGAAAGAACCGGAATAAAGTTGAAGTCAATAAAAGCTTGCTGCCGATGAAGCTTACTTGAAAACAACAAACTACAGACGAAACATGTTCTGCAAGTGCAGAAATAACGAAACTTTAGATGATTAAGGACTCGTAGACTAAAAGTATCAAATAAACGATAAAGAGGTCAGTAATTTTTTTTCGAAGTAGCGGGGAGTTTGAAAGCTTTCTAAACGTGAACGAAAAGGCGATCGACGATTTGTATTGCTGACATAGTAAATCAAGAAGACATTCAGTATAATAAAATAAATGATGCATGTTTTGAAGGGTAACAGTTGAAATTGACACCCCTCGGAAAACCATTGTCAACCGACGCGTCAATGGTTTTCCTTCGTGTGCCAATTTCAACTGTTACCCTCCAAAACAGGCACCATTTATATAGTACCCATTCCATAACTGTCTACATACCTTCACAATCGTATGTTGATTTCTATGACAACATAAAATTAATATGTTCTGCTTTATTAATTCTTTATATATTACACGACGATAAAATATTTAAGGAAATGACGTAATACATCAACTTACTAAAAGAAGGAACTCCCCCCTCTACGTCTCCATGACACTGACCAATGGGACAAAGCTCTATGAATTATACAATCAGTTCTCTGTTGGTGACGAAATCAACAAATACAGACTTTTTCTTGGAGGACCAGCTACCGGGGCACTGGTTAGGCTAAAAAAATGTGTGGCAATCGAAAAGAAGAAAGAGAGAGAGAGAGTTTTATTTCTTAACGTGACAGATAGACAAATCTTTCTCTGAGAATCAGTCCTATTGTTAGTTAATAATGGGGGGGGGGGAGTAATGTGTGAATATCGATGATTTGAAAGTGAATTTTTCCTTGTAATTTGAAAATCGAGAATCCATACTATATAAGCCAACAAGTATTAAATTGCTAAAAGTATTGAACAAAATCACAAGCAGACTGGTCTTTCGAATTAGATAGTATAAACGGAGGTCCTGTACGTGCTGGCACAAAAAAAATCATCATTATTTGACTGTGTATAACATGTATTATAGAACAAAATTTGTAGCTCTCAACCGAAAAGTCGTGGCGTCATCATATGCATGAACAATTTTCGGGAGGGACGCTAAACTACATACATACAATCAATCAATTTTTCATTTCTGTTGAGACTCATTAATATATTCTTATATAGTCAAAATAACAAATCATATGATTGCGTCCATGACAAAAGGGTCCTTATGGCATTTTTGCTAAAACAGAGAAGTGACGGTGAACTTTGACGCAGATTTTTTTTAACCACGCTTTTTGACGTTTGACGCATCATAACATGTTTCCAACATGTGGAATTTATTTTTAGTGTTAAATTAATTTAATCAATATCTGAATCTCCTAATCCACTGCTTTTAATAGATATAAATAAAAACATTAAGAACTGGTTATCTATTATACGTACGTCTCTAATACCAATAGTTTTCCTACATGCGTAAATTAATGTATAGACGCTGTAGACAAGGTGCATGTTTTTTTTTTTTTGGATAGCGAGAATAATGAACCTTTATAATAAACCTTTATAATCTAGATAAACTTTATTTACATATTTACATAATTTTTAGAATACATGTTAGATATGGTAAAAATATTCCAAAGAAAAATTGTCTTCCTTTTTTGAGATCCGCTCCACCACTCTCAATATACATCGCGTCGATCACATGTAAACATTGATTCCTCGGTTCATACTGCTTAAACTGTTGTTAAATTCTTTGTACAAATGTTGAAACTAAACATACATCTTCCACGTTTTTACAAATCTAGCAAAAATGTGTAAGAACGATAGTCAAGAATATTTGTATTTTCTATAAATAAAGATAATAGAGATATCTCTGATGTCAACAATTGATGTAACAGGGGTACCAGAGAGGGCCATTCATTTTACTTGTGTACTTTTTAACATTCAGCTGCATGTTCACATGAATTTGCTCCCGAATTATAAAAGAGATCTTTTATGACCAAATGAAAACAGTTTTAATCATCAGCATAATTATGAATTTTTGAATAAAAAAAATCTCGTGTACTTCGGGAACAAGGTCCTGTAAATTTAGAAAAGGAAAAAAAAAACAAAGAAAAAAAAAGGAAAATGCAAAATTGAACAGACTTAAAAATGATTTTTTTTTCAAATCTTTTATCTATACTTTTTTTGTACATGATATAATTTAACAACGAATGTCATTTTTTTTTAAATTATGTACATGTAAAGTGTCTTCCTTATAATCATGATTAAATAAGTTAATTAAACTTTTAAAATGTTCTTTGTCTTATTTTCTTGTTGCACAAAGACACTTCAATTTAGAGAAATTAAAACAAACAAAAACATCCAAATGAAAAAAAAATGTTTTAAATGTTCTAACTTAAATAGAGCTGGTCAAGTAAATCTGAGGAGAAAAAGAGAGAGGATGGAGGGTACATAGAAATATTTATATTGAATCTATTTATCTAATATTGAGAAATGTGAAACACTATTGAAAAAGTTGAGTTTTCAAAACAAATAAAATAATAAAATACTGTAAAATGAAAGAATTTTTTTTTGTTCGTTAAACTATATATGCATGGCTATTTATTTTCAAGATCTCCAAGTTTAATATACATGTAACTCTTTGGTACTTACGTGATGTTGTCGTTTTTTCATACGGAGTTCAAATGTTTTAAGCATTATCTGTAAATTAATTCTTAAAGCCATGAAGAATTTTGTCTTTCACAAAAGCTCAATCAGCATCGAATGTCTCTTAACAGATCAATTATCATGCTAAAAACTCAATAATCACTGAATTTATAATCTCATTGCAGTTATCAGTGTGGAATTATATACTGTTTAACCTGCCATCAAATTATGGATAATAATAATTATATATGCACAAATATATGATTTTATTTGTTTTGATTGATAATAAAAAAAATCCTTATAAGTTCGGGGTCGGGTTTTATATTTACATGTAAATGCTGACAGAAAATAAAATTCAATGCTGAAAATACATGACATAGAACCGCAACAATATGCTTGCATTATTTTTTTCATTTTGGCCGCAGTGCGGGGATGGGGGTGGGGGTGTCCTTTTGTATTTCCGTAACATGTAAGGCTTTACAAGGCTTAGTATATCCAAGCTTCTGGCACGGGACCAGATTGGAATTCATACTCTGTAAAACTCACTTCATAGAATGAAACTAGAAAACAAAATCATTAGAATGAAGGGGAATTTTTTAAATTAAGTCATAAAATAATATGATGAATTTTTTGCATCCCTAAAAAAATCGGACATTTCAATGCTCAGCCAGTTCACCGACAATTGTCATGAAATATATTATACTAAACAGTCATATTTAACTGACTGACTATATATTTAGGCATGAACAATTACATGTTTTTTTTTTAATCCACTCCTATCCCAACAAAATCTATACATTAAACTTCATGGTTCATAACAATTACATGATATAGTTATTATTGATTTGTCTACTGGAAATTCTTTTTAATTAATGAGAAAAAAATGACAAACCAATTTGTTTGAAACTCTTATTAGATTTATGCAAATGGCATCTTTAATTTAATACTATGGGTATGCTCCTAAAACCATCCATTTCATAAAATAAAACCAGATTTTGTTATTCTAGGGTATCATTATATACATGATTAACAAGACTGAATTCATAGCAATTCAGTTTCAGGCTCATAGTGCTTATGATCGCTATGCAATTTTGAAAATGGCAATGCTCAGATTTAAAGGTACAAATATAAAATGAAGAATAATATGCAGAATTATTTCAAACCTAAATAAAAAAGTGATTTACAAGTTGTAGGATTAATGGTACTGGGTGCACATAAAACTTTGGAAGCAAAAAAAAAATTATTTATTTAACTCGTATTCACAAGAATTGTAAGTTTCTGTCATTTAGATTTTACCCCGCCCCCCTAACCAACATACACATAATCCTACAATTGTTAATCCAGGGTCTATCTATTGTGTAAATGTTTGCGGATTATAACTCATTCATTTGTTTGTAAAATTTCCACCTTTTGATTGGTAAATAATAAAATATTTTTACTGCTAGACTGAAAAATATTTCGTGTATCCTTTATAATTTTCAAAAAGCAGTGTCATTATTGACCCCATCCAGACAGATTGTGTATCGTTATAACATGTTACCACACTTCACAATTTTTCTGTCTTTATATAAAATTTAGAAAAAAAAGAACGATCAAATAAATTTTTACTTCGCAATAGATAGTTAGGTAACGTATTGTTGTTCCAGATATAATTAAAAAATAATAATTTTCACATATATGGTACCAAAAGATATATCGTTTTATGCTGAATTCTTGACCTATCGAGAGCAATGTTTAAATTAACTCAATTTTTTAATGAATTCTACAGGCTTATCAAATGACTCTTGCATGGATTACTAGTAAATAGTTTGTTTGAGAAAATAATTGTTTAAAAAAAAAGAAGAATTCTGAATGGATTTCGCCCCCTGTTCAGGTCTCCCCATGGTGTCATAGAAAAATGAAATGTAAAATTAACATTCACTCATAATACTATACACCACTGATGAATTCATAATATATATAATTATTAAATAACTATTAATAATTAAAAGAGACAATGAGATAAAAATATTGTACCTGGGGAAATGCTTAATATCACACAACTATTAATTACCGTAGTAAAATTACAGAAGAAAATCATTTAAACGTTCACTCTAAAAACGTTTAACGTTGTTGAAGAACGACGTCATTATTAATCTGTTGAAGTATCTTTGATAAAAATGAAGAATAAACCTACTTAGAGTAGACGTAGGACCATAAAAATTCACATTTGACAACTTCTAGCCTTACTCTATCAAAATCCATGAAAAACTCAAAATGCATAAAAATTGCCATAAGGACCCTTTTGTCATGGGCGCAATCATATGCCAATCATCAGAAAAACAAAGAAAAATTTTAAATGTAAAATGTGTTGTTTAGTTTAATTGTAAGCAATGCAAATTAAGACAATTCAAAAAAGTTTTTTAATGCTGAATGATATAGATGTTTTCTTTTAGTTTTTAATTTTAAGCAAACAGTAATAATCTAATCTGAAAGATGTGTCTGTGTAATATTTTTATTTGTTAACTCTACAGGTGACGCTATGTTAGACACTGGTGATTTTGACTTCAATCTCTCTGGGATGTCCTTCGCCACCCCAGACAGAGATAACGACAGAGCTAGTATTAACTATGTTAGACACTGGGAAGTCTACTAGAGACCTGTCTGGGATGTCCATCTCCACCCCAGACAGAGATAACGACGGAGCTAGTATAGGTGACTGTGCTGCTTTCTATAACATTAGAGGCGGCTGGTGGTTTAACAGATGTCACTTTTCCTTCCTTAACGGACAATGGTCCCCTGGGTCCTGGGAGGATCCATGGTGGCCAAGGGTAAAGTGGGGGACGTCAGTGAAGGAGAC